ATTCAACACCTTTAAACTCTTGAAAAACTAACTCAGATTGTACCATCTAAATCGAGAATCTAACCCAATTTCAATTTCCATTAGCGGATCGCCACTAAGTGTGTTCACAAGAAGTCGAATGTGCCACAGGCCGATCATTCCTCCCACCTCTTAATCGAAACTGAAATTAAATTCCAACGTGCACTTTTTGAAATGAAATCGCTTTGATTGTAAAAGGATGGTCGATTATCTATCCTTAATTTCTAAAAACTTAAAATGTAACCCTGAAGGGTATGATGTGCTTTTCGATTCTGACAACTTTGAATCGAGTCATTGCTTTAGCCTTTGGCTATGGAAAACTTAGCTAAGCATGATTGAATTCATGCACTTTAAGAAAGTAATTTAAAACTTGAAAAAAAAAATGAAAGAAGAACTTTATTAAAAACGTAAAGAAAGAAAAAAACAAGAGTTGAATGATGAATTCTCAATGAATTCTCAATGTTTTGAGGCTTACCCCAATGGGTATTTATAGTCCTAAAAACCCTAAGAAATTACATTTAAAATTAAAAAGATAATTCCTAAAAAATAAAAAATAAAAATAAATCCTAATTTAAATTTGAAAAATGCGATTGAGTCTCCTTCTTCACGCAATCTACTGACTGGACTTTCTAGAAGTTGTTGGATACCACGTCAGCGAAGTCATGCCCACTAATCCATTCATGAATCCAGAAAATCAAAAATTGCACAATTTTATCATTTTTAGCAATATTTCTGGAATCTACTGTCCTGCATTGAAAATGAGCGGAAATGGACAAGTTAGCAACTTAAAATGACTAATCAAGGAGTAATTAATCATAAAAATAATACACAATTTAAGCACTAATCAGGACCCCATAAGTCAACATGTATAAGGTGAAAGGGCTTATCCTACCTAGATTGACTATAAGGGAATGTCAATCTGTTTTACTTAGCTTGAGGACAAACACTACAATCATGAACACAAGCATTATCTAATTTGGAAGAAGAAAACATAGGCTACTTATGCATTTTGGTAAGAGTGACATGACCCGATCGAGCATACCAAGTACCAGTCTTATTATTAGAACAAGAAGACATACAAACAGAATCAGTAACCATGAAAGAACAAGGAAAAACAAACCAGAATCTAAAAAAGGCTCAAACAAGTAAAATTCTCCAACATATCTTATAAGAGGCAAACGTTAGGGTAGAAAACAACAGAACAATGAAAATCCATGGCTAATTTGGATACTGACAGCAGATTATGAGTAAAATGAGGTACAAATAAGACATTTTTTAACTCATGAGTAGAATCAAGAAAAAAAGAACCCTCATGAGTGATTGGGACATATTTACCATTAGGAAGGTGAACCAAACGCTGACCAAAAGTGTAAGCAATAAGATTGTTTAAGAATTTAAAATGAGATAAGACATGATCAGTCGTTCCAGAGTCCAAAATCCAGGTAAGTGACCTACTAGATGAAGAATGCTTACCATCTGAACCAACCAAATTAGCAGCAGAAGGTTTGTTGAGAAGATCCAAGATCTGTCGATACTGGTCTTGAGTAAAGACTGGAGCAGGAGGGGCTGGCACAGGAACAAAAGAAGCTGGAGACTCATTAGATGCAATATCTGATGAAGAATCTTCCAAATGCATAGTCAAGGCAATGGGAGCATTCTTCTTTCGACCGAACTTGAAATCGGGGGGAAAATCGATAAGCCGATAACATTGATCAGGTTTGTGACCCTTGATACCATAGTGATTACAATTACCAAAAAAAGGCGGTCGCCAAAGAAGCCTGATTAACAGATGGAATAGGTAGTGAATTTGGAAACATCGTAGAGGAATTAGAGAGGAGAAACACCAGAGAAATGGAGACATTGTGACTCCTCTTGGACCAACAACGAGTATGCCTGATTGACCGTCGTTGCCTTAGTAACAACTGACGAGTAAGTATCATTCAGACCCATCAGAAACTGGAGTAAGCGTTGTTGCTGAAGATGTTGAAGATTCTGTCACGCATTTCCACAATCACAAGAATGGAAAGGAACTATGGCATAGTACTCATCCCAAAACAACTCACCTTGAGTCAATTGAGCAATTTCTTGATGCAAGGACAAACAAGAGATCCATCCACCTTATGAAACCTTTCCTTCAGATCTTTCTAGACGAGGGCCGAACTAGAGGCAAACAAAATACCAGCCGAAAGCTCCTTGCTAACAGAGTTGAGAATCCAAGAGAGCACGATAGCATTGCAATGATCCCATTGAAGATGCAAAATCGGCTCATAATCGCCTTTAGAATAGTCATCGTCAATAAAACCTAGCTTATTCTTTGCAAGAAGAGCGATGCGCAGAGAACGACTCCAAAAAGTGTAATTTTCGATTCCAATCAACTGATGAGAAATGAGGAAAGTACTCGTGGTATCGGAGGGATGCAAATAGACAGGGTGATTGAAATCAAGAACGCCGTAATCAGTTGTTGAAGGCATGACGATGATGGAAAACAGAAAGAGGGGAACAAGATCGACAAAAAAAAAAATGACTTCAGAAAACAGAAAAAACAAACGAGGTAAAAAATGGGTCAAAAGAAACTAAAGTAAACCAAGCCAAAGAAACGTTAGCTAATCTGATACCATGTTGAAAATAGAATATATAAAACGTGTATATTCTCATTAAAGAATAAGTTTACATAAAGAATGTATTTATACAAGTCTACTCAACTAACTAACTGATTTATTTACAAACTAACTAAATTTCTAACTCCTCATCTTAACAGTTTTTGATCGATTCAGAATATATGAAGTATTTTATTATTTAAGTTTCTTTGTTAGAAAGACTATCTTTGGTTCTTGAATCCTGTTTGGTAATAAGAAATTGAAAGAAGATAAATAGAAAGGAACTTCGACTTTAAATTCTAGTTGTAATCTGAATCATTTCTCAAGTTCAACTTTAAATTTTGTTTTCGAATGTTGTTCTTTGTCCAATTTTTGGGACCTAAAAAATTTAAAATTATAAAATTTTGGAGGTAAATTAAATATAAATTATTGTTCAATGATCTATTTGATGTTTAAGTAGTAGTTTAGGGGTAAGACTAAATATTAATATTTTTGTTAATATTGTCATATCATCAATTTAACGAAAATAAAAATAGAGTGACCGTTTTATTACAAATCAATAACATTAGTGTTTAATTTATTATTTTTGAAACTTCAGTGAAACACATCATTGAGTGCTTTGTGTAGTTTACCCTTTTTTAACTGAGAAATAATCGTTATTATTTTAAGGTTGGAAAATCATAGTCCAATGAAAGCATGATAGTGATTGAATTATTAATTTCGTTATTTTCTTTAAAATCCTTAAAATTTTTAATTTTCTCAAAAATTTTCCTAAATTCTAAAACATTCCATAATCCCCACATTTTTATCCCTAAATCTTATCTACCATCGTTGAATTAACCACCCTCGTTTATCCTTTTCATTGCTGGACTCCACCATTGATTATCTCTTTCATTTTTGTTTATCGTTGCGTGAAACTCTTCCATTTTCAAAAGAAACCCCATCCTATATTCATGTTTTCATTAAAATTCAATGATTCATTGTCGTCGACAAACATGCACCCTCTTCTTTGTCAAACTTCCTTCTTACTGCCCTTTCGACCATGCCTTCGCTTATTTATTTGTAGTTTTCTTTTTACGTTTATAATATCCTAAACTCGATCAGTGTCTAACAGTAGCGGATCCAGAAATTTAAGAATAAGATCCAAAATTTTAATTTTTTTTTTCTTAAAAATAATGGGTATGCACTATTTTTTATATTTTTCCATTTTCCTTTAACATATTAAACTAAATTTTACTTTCTTTTTTTCAAAATAATGAGGATGAACTTAACCCTTATAGAGTTTAGTGCATTCATCCATGATGTCTAATGGGTTTAAGGTACTACATGGAGTCATCGAAACAACTATCAAATTTCAAAAAAAAAAAAATCACTCATTATTCAAACCATTTCATAAACATTAAAAACATTTTATATAGAACGGAATTCCATGACAATTTAGTACAAAATTAAATATCTTAAATTAATAAAAATTTATAGATCATGAATATATAATATAACCCGCTAATATAATTGGTTTTGCACTATGATATTCGAAGGTGTTGGAACCCATAGAGATGATCTTCAAACAGTCCAACCTGTAGGCATACAAATGAAAACATAAGTAACGAAGCTCAATAGTACACATCTACTGAAAAATACTACTTGTAATTCGTAAATGTAAACATACTCAGTAATATAAAGAGAGATGCATAAGTGTAAAATATAATGGTATTAATGGCACATGATATCACGTTTGGTTTCATCTAGCTTTAGCTATCAATCACTATACACCATCAGCACCTTATATTAACATCTGATATAATATAACATCGATGGTCTAAATAGAAAATTTCAATATCACATAACATAAATAATTATTAATATTTTTTTAATGTCAATTAGTATTATAATGAATTGTAAAAATAATTTTTTTAATTTAAAAAATCATTAAATCATTACTTTTTTAATATGAAATAATATAATAAAGCATAAAAAAATTTTCATCGGGTTAATTTCTTTTCTCCAAATTCATAGTTTGATATAGGTGTAGAGAGAACTCGAGTCTGAAACTCTGCTGAGCCGGCTTTTGGTTTTTGTTTATTTTAAAACCTAATAAGCCCAATGATCCGTCGCACAGTTGCTTAACCTTAGTCAGTATCGGGAGAAGCTGCACTCTCAGTATCTGACAATGGAAGGCCCCGTCGAAGAAACGGTGAAACAAGTTTCTGATTCAGCTGTGGATTCGGCTTCTACCGTTGAAACTCAGAGCAAAAAGTATATCTATTTCCCTCTTCATCTCTCTTTCTACTTGTTTGATTCATGAGAAAATTAACAGAGAAACAATAATATACTTCGATTTTCAATATGATTTTATTTATTTATGTTTGTAAAATGTGTTGGCTGTGCTCGTAAGAAGGAACTTAAAAATAAGCAGCGGGAAGAGGAGCGCCGCCGTATGGAGGAGGAAAAAGCAGCCAAACAGGTACTACGTTGCTTTGCGAGGTTTCATCCGAGCTGGCACCACGAACATCCGCGTCTTATCCGAGCTGGCGCCACGTAAAGACAGATTCGCGCCTTCCATTAATACCACAATCGTTCACACCTCCCACATTAATACCACATCCGGCTAAACCCCCTCCCCTCTCTTTATAAATACCCCTCCCTTCTTCATTCAAACACATACCAAACACAAACATTCAAACCCTCTCAAAGCTCAAACCCAATGATAAATTAACAATTTATTATTTTATTAAATTTTATTATATTAACTTTTTATTAATTTTTGTAGTTATAAAATGGAAGACAGTTTGCTACATTTAGATGCACATCATGAGGCATTTTGCTAATACGATAATAATTTTAAATTATATTTTAATTTTAATTATTGTTAATATTTTATTTATTTAATTTTTTTAATATTAGTTTATATTTTAATTTCTATAATATTTATTAAATTAGGAGAGAGATCGTTTATTAGATCCCTTCATTCGTAATCTTAATTAATCTGTGATGCTCAAATGGCATTAACTGAAAGTAAATGAAAATTAAATTACAGAAACTTAGATTTCATAAACAACAACTACATCAAGCACAACATCAACGATTACTTGATGAAAAAAGAGATGGACATTTTTTCCTAGTGTGTCATAGGTTTCTACAATACCCACATCTTTTGTTTTCTCTAGATGTTTCCCGAATATCCATATCACAATGAATTCGAGTGAATTTTGTACGACCGGGCTCCCTCAATAAGGACGGATCTGGTACAATCGAAAGCTCATTCTAAACCTCATTATGGTCTTTCTCATTACCTAAGGGGGAACTCAAATTTATATTCCTTAAACACTTCTGAAAATCAGTATACGGGATCCACAAAACGGTTATAATCTTTACGGGTATATGAGAAAGCTGTTATGACATGAGAGAATGGATACTTCAGAGCTTGAAAAAACTCACAGTCTCACCATCTATCTTGTAGATTAACTCTGAACGAGTTAGCTTGAATCCTTGAAGAGGTCACGGGATCTCTGTGACACGAAATAATTCATGGGTTCTAGAGAAACTTGTTATATACATTCCATTTGATGCAACAATTCTTTTTTGTAGATCTGTAACTAATCTAGGATGATAGACATGACCGTTTTGCATCCAAGTTTGAGCTTGTCCCTCGAGCTTGGTAAATAGCGTTCCCAAACAAAAATATGTCGTTTTTACCAAAGTCGTTACTGGTAAATGACATGCCCCCTTTAAGGTCGAATTGATAGCCTCAGTCAAGTTGGTCGTCATGTGTCCATATCGATATCCACCATCATATGCATTTGTCCACATTTCTTTATTGATGAGAATGATGTAATCGTATCCTTCCTCGTACTTTCTTCGCAACTCTTGAAGCATGGACTCAAATGTTTCAGGTAGTATTTCGTAACCTGAGCATAAAATGTAGAACTTATTAACTTTATTTCCATAAAAAAAATGAAAATGATTGAGAAATAAAAAATAACATTTTGACATACCCATGCGCACATTGACGCTCATAATTCTTCTTGAACCTTACATGATAGTGTTGGGACCGTCGACGCACCCTATGGCGCAGCGGAAACAAAACTCGACGATCTCACCAGTGATCCAAGTACGAAAAGAACTGAAATCGGGAGGAAGGGATGTGAATACTTACAGCGGGTTCCACGAAATCACGTCTCGACCTCTACTCAGTTCACCCGATTGAGAGCAATAATTTTCTTCCCAAAATCGTTTTGATAGAAAAAACGGCTAAAGGTTTTGTGTGTGTGTTCTAAAATGGCTGCTAGACCTAACACACCCTTTTATAGCCAAGTTACCCTAATCATATTAGGGTTTTATTATTTCAAATTAATTAAATTTATATTTAATTAATTAGAATTTAATAATCCTTTTATATCCAAGTTACCCTAATCATATTAGGGATTTTATTATTTCAAATTAATTAAATCTATATTTAATTAATTGAAATTAAAATATTTGAGATTATTTAAAACATATATTTAATTAACTCTAGATATATATTTTAGTAACGTACAACAAATTATACATCTTTTCTCGTTTCAATCATAGGGTGTGACCCTGTAGGTTCTTGTAACGTTAGCAGTAATTATTAGAACAATTCTAATATTACATACAATGAGTGACATCTAGCAATATATCATTGTCACATAAGCTACAAGAAAATATGATTCGACATATCATCTTGGTGATTAATTCTTTTATATATTACATCCTTATGTCCTTTATATCTAGAATAGACACAAGTCTTGGAATAGTCACACTTGTATAGTTCATCTATTGTTTCTTGATATCTAGAGTAGTCTTTAATTAACAAATAGTTTATGATATCTCATATCAACTTATTCGAGCATGGCCATGTGTTTCTAGTCTTACTCAATCAAGTGGCATGTGATATATTTCCTATTATGTAGGAAGGATAAATCATATCTTAATCATACACACCCACTACATATATTGAGATATATTCAATAACAGTCTTTATAGAGCAACCAGTTACGGAGCTTGTTTGGCTGCATCAAAACATACAACAATATATGTTGGGATAGTATTGATCTCAAGTCTGAGGATCATACATATAATCATCAACATGAGCAATGTTATGATTGTCACATAATAATCCAAGACATATGCTCATGGTGGGTCAATCCAATACATTGTTCTCTAACAATATGATCATGTATCAATTCTGACATCTCTATGTCAATGTCAACTCGTTGTCATCAATCAATAACATGTTAGTCTTAAGCGTATTATTATTGTCCATGCCCATAATAATACTTGACTAGGGATCTTTTAATAATAACAATTATGCCATTATATGGACTTTATTATCTTTCAGTTTATGTTAAACACATATATATAACTGAAAATAATAGCGGTAATACCTTTATTCAATAAAATCGATAAATAAAAGTATTATTAGAATCATCATATGATTGATCTTTGGGCATACTCTAACAGATAGTTTGCAGTAATATGTCGTACACAGTACCGATGTCGGACATAGGGTGGTTGCCACATTGGACCCAAATAATCCATTGTTGCTTTGATCTGAAATGACATAGATTTTTTCCCTCGTGATAACATGTAAGCTTAAGTTTCTGATGAGAAAAACCCAAGAATTTGTATCTTCTCCTTCAACAAGGGCAAAAGCAACTAGAAGTATGTTGCGATTATCATCTTGGACAACTGCCAATAGTAAAACTTGCTTGTATTTTCCATACAAGAATGTCCCGTCGATTTGGACCACGGGCTTGCAGTATTTCACAACATTAATGCACTGTGGGTAAGTCCAAAAAAGTCGGTATAATTGGCATCGATCGCGAAGCACTCGATCATTGTGGTATGCATGGCAAGTTTCAAAGTCGATAATTATCCAGGATTCAATCTGCACATCACCTAAACCAACTTGGTAGTTCATTGTAAGATGCATCCCATTCACCGTGAAGTTTTTTAATGGCATTTGGCTTTGCCTTCCATGCTTTCATGTATGAGACGATATACCCATACTGCGAATGTATAGCTGAAATCAGTACAGCAATAGCTATATGGAAGCTTGCTTTTACCATGAGCATGATGGCTTGGCAGATAATGTCGGAGTCCAATTTGGGATGATACTGGTTGATCCCTCCAGCACAGCATATGTGAGGACCGTTGTATATCGTTAGTTCCAATATATTGTTTTTCTTCTTCCTCTTCAATACGCGAACTATCCAATTGCACCCGTTATCACGTTGGACACAGTGGCAAACATACTTTTTGGTGGTAGAGCGGTCGACTCTGGACTGAACAGAATTACGAATATTTTAATTCTTAATTGCTATCATCGATTCTTCTTTGCATGAAAACTCCATTCGTTTATATAACTCACCATCATTGACTGATGAGTTAAATCTATAGTCACCAACATTAGGCATATCTACAAATTTTGACACGTACATTGCACTATAGTCAGCTTCATACATGTGTGTTGGAGGTTCAGTGTGTATCTATTTATGAGAACTTCATCTACATCATCATCATCGGAGTTTTTGTTGAACTGCGGTGATTCTAGCTAAACGAATAGACCAGTCTCAGTACCATCCACACCTGGCTCACAAATATATTCTTTTGGTGGAGATGAAGGTTCCTCCACAATGTCGACATTTAGGTCGAACAAGCTGGTAATTGCACACCTTACCCTTGAATTTGAAGGCATCTCAACATTGAGGTCAAAGAAGCTCGCAGTTGAATGCCTCCCCCTAGATCTTGAAGGCATCGTGTCAAATGGGTACTCCATAGATTTCTGCGTCGAGAGTATCTCCATATTCAGGTCAAAGAAATTGGCAGATGAATGTCTTCCCCTTGAACTGGATGTGATGTTTCCATACAGATTGTTTGTGGAGCCACCTCGGTATAGATCGTAAAAAGTTGCTGATGAATGTCTCCCCATTGAACTTGATGGGATGGCACCATGATGTGGATTTTCCATTAACGAGTTAAAATCATTACATATTACTTGAGTTGGGCTGTCAACTTGATCAGCTTGTTGAGCTAGCCCATAGTGGGAGCATAATGACATACCATGAATAGCACACACTTCAATAAATTTTGCATACATCTATGCATCGGCGTCTGAATAATGATTTTGAGAATCAACCATCATAGAAACATCGTCACCATTGGATAGTTCCAACGTTGTATAAGTTAACAGAAATACTGCAGTTGGAAATCTGTACTGAAGTGAGAACAATCTTCTAGTACTTCCAACATGAATCTTCCTTGACATCTTCATTATCAGCTCCTCAAGAGTTATGTTTCTCTTGAAGGATATTTTGACAGAATGATTTAATGAGAACAAGACGCCGGTTTCATCTTCCCGAATTTCTCCATCATAGTAAACAATAGCTTAAACACACGTCATTCTAAGAGTTTGAAAGATTGAGAGTCTCATATCTGTAAAAGCAATAGCTGAAATACACCTAATTAAATAAATAGTATATGAATTCAAATATAATCTAATAAAAAATTTAAAAATTTTCAAAATAATTTAAATAATATAATTTTATATTATTAATGTATAGGCAAAAATGTCTAGACTTATGATCCTAATTTCCAATTTTACAACCGCAAAAAATAATAAAAAATAATTAGTACAATAAAAAATTTTCAAATAATCATATATAAAATAAATATAATATTGTAAGTAGTGTTTAAGTTAAACTCTTCATCCTAATTTATCTCTAAAACTTCTTCTTAATTTATAGAAAATATGACTCCTATTTTATCTAGGTCTCTAATTCATGTGTATAAAAAGCCTATGCACCATATTGTGTAAGAGGCAATTTTCCTTTGAATAAAAGAATTTTAATTCTTTCACTACCGAAAAAATCTAGTTCTTTGCTGCCTTGAATACACATTCCTCCGGTGACACCCATATCAAGAAAGGCCATCCCTGGTGCGATCACTGTCGGAAACCTGGTCATGTTCGTGATAAATGTTGGAAACTACATGGTCGTCCAGCCAACTGGACTCCATCGAAATCCTCCTCGCGTCCATACCACGGTAACTCTACTGTAACAGCATTGGAAGGTGGTTTATTTTCTCGTCAACAGCTAGACGATCTACGGTAGATGTTTGGTCATTTACAGATTCCTCTTGCTCTGAGCCCAAGTCTGCCTGCACTGTTAGCGAAGGTAGTTCTCTTTTAGCCTCCTTATCCCCTTCACCTGGATGTGTCTCTTGGATTGTTGATTCCAAAGCAAGTGATCATATGACGGGTAACTTCAGTTTATTTTCAACATTTCACAAAAATGGTATCTCGTGCAATGTTCATATTGTTTATGGCTCCCTATCACCAGTTAAGGGCAGTGGCTTGGCTCGCATTAATAGCCGCATTATTCTGTCTAATGTTCTATTTGTTCCAAGTCTGACTTGCAATCTTCTTTCGATTAGCAAATTATCTACATATTGGTTTGTACTTCTTATTTTACTCATGATTATTGTGAATTTCAGGATTTGACCTCGGGATGGTGATTGGCAATGCTAGGCGTCATGGTGGACTCTACATCCTTGACGCTCCTCCTTATGCTCTCATTCCAAACCACTCACCCACACCATTTATTTCTTCTTTTGTTTCAGTTTCCTCTACAGATGCGGCTACCGACATTGTGTTATAGCATTTTAGATTAGGTCACCCAAGTTTTCCTTATCTTGCAAAATTGTTTCCCAAATTATTTATTGACAAAAATCTCGCATCATTTTCTTGTGACATTTGTTCTCTTGCAAAACACATTTGGAGATCTTATCCTCATTCTCCCTTCCGCTCACCTAAACCTTTTTCCTTATTTCATATTGATATTTGGGGACCTTCACGGGTTACAGGTTTTCATGGAATTTGTTGGTTTATTACTTTTATTGATGACCACTCTCGTACCAATTGGACCTTTCTTATAAAGGAAAAATCTGAGTCTTGTATCATCTTCAAACGATTCCACAAAATGGTTGAAACACAATTCCAAAGTTCCATTGGCATCTTGAAATCTGATAATGGTGGCGAATACCTCTCTCAGTCGTTGGGATCTTTCTTCCAGGAAAACAAAAATAGTCCGCCTCACTTCCTGTGTCGACACTCCACAATAAAATGGGGTCGTCGAACGTAAAAACTATCATCTTCTTGAGGTAACCCGAGCACTCTTTTTTTCTTCTAATGTTCTGAAATACTTTTGGGGTGAGGCTCTCTTAATAGCTACTTTTCTAATCAATCGTTTGCCTAGTAATATTCTTGCCTTTAAGTGTCCACGGGATATCCTTTCCACTAAATTCCCTTATTTCAAACCTTTTACCTCTTATGTTCCTCTTCGTGTCTTTGGTTGTACTTCCTTTGTCCATGACCACAATCCTTATAAATCTAAACTTGATACTCGGGCAATTCAGTGTGTCTTCACATTTGTGGATGTCACTTTTCAAGAGCATAAACCGTTCTTCTCAAAAACCGAAATCCAGGGGTGAGTGAGTCTGAATTTCAATAATTTCATACCTTTATTTAATTTATTAAATAAAAACAATTGATAATCATTAATTAAAAATCAAATAAACATTAATATATTTTATATATAAATATTTTACTCATTTCACCTGTAATCTTTAAATCAAAATCAAGTCTCAACACAGTTGATAAAATTATAAAAATGTTATTGTCTTGAAATATTAATTCATATTATTGTAATAATAATATTGAATAAAATGTTTTAAAAAATATAATTTAAGAATAGGAGAACCCATGTTTAATGATATTTTTATATACATTAATATAAAAATATCTATCACTTTATCTATAATTATTATTGAACGAATTTTAAAATGTATATTTATACGTAAAATATTTACTTTAGTCCATGTCATGATGTAATAAAATTAAAACTTTATAAAAAAAATTCTTTTGACAAATTTTATATCTAATCATAAATCTATCTAGAGAAGAGGGAAAAGGGAACTTAAAGAAAAGAATGGGAAGTATTCCAAGCCAATTTAAAACTCAAGACCTAAGGGAATGAGGAAATAAAGATGAAGATATTAATACGTTTTTATTTGATACATAAGTTGTGTAAAATTGAGTTTAGATAATCTATTTTGATTTTGAATTCTAAAATTTAAAAATTTAACCTTAATTCCTAATCCTACAACTTAAAATTTAAAAGGGAGAGAGATTCATTCCTTTTTGAAAAATCTATTTTTTATTGGTGTAATGTTTATCTCTTTTCTTTTTCATCTTTGTCGATCGATAGTGGTACCAATTTTAATATTGGTTGTTGATCGCCGATATTCTTTATTGTCATTTTCTTTTCTTATATCGCATCTCTATTTTCTTTTATTATTTATTTTTAATAAATTTTCCTGTAAAGCATGTTTTCAGTTGCTTTTATAACATGTTTTATGTAATAATTAAAAGTATAAAGTAAAGGAAATGACAAGAATAAAAGAAATATAGTAGATAGAGCACCAAAATAAGAACAACAAATAAGCTAAACATTCCTTCATCCACATATTTTCCATACCTTTAACCCTCAAACCTATTAGGATTTATAGTATATAAAGCCCAAACCCCAAAAGCCCATTAAAATATTTATTTATTTATAAAAGTTCTGTTACATTTTTTGGTCTTATGTTTTCTATAATGCCCCAAAACTCGGGTCAGTAGTTTGGGTCAACTCGAGACCTTTAAGTAAAGCCAATTAAACTTTCCAAGATAGTTGGACCAAGTTATATAGGTATTGGGCTTAAGTAAGGCCAAATAGTTAAGGGTAAATGATGGTTTTAAGTATAGGTAAAAATGAGAGGGACCAAAAGAGTAGTTTACCCATATTTGGTTTTAAAGGTTATAAACCCCCTTTTTAGATGGATTTCACGAGAACCTTCCCCAAAAATATATTCTTATTCCTTTTCTCTTCTCATTTCTTATTCTTTCTCCAAAATGAGCCAAAAAGGAGCAAGTTTTTAGGATTCCAAGTTTAGTTTGAAGAAACAAAGGTAAGAACCTTAATCTTCTTCTCTCAATCTCCTTTTTAAGCCCTAAATCATAGGTTTTTGATTAAAATTTAAAAATGGTTTTTTTGGAGTTGAGTGAAATCAAGTGTTTTAAGCTTTTTTTTGGGTATATTTGAGTTGTGGGAGTTGTATTTAAGCTTAATCTAACCTCTAGTTGAGTAGTAATCCATTTCCTTGCTTGGTTTAGTTAAAGAGGTGAAAAAGAGTTTTAAAGAAAATGATAAAGGTAAGGTGACTTCTAGTTGAG